CCCGCAGTGATGTAAGGAAGACTGTTGGGCTGGATAGAAAGGCAAGACTGTTTCAGACGGAGCGGCCAGAATGAGCCAAAGCAGCACAGTGGAAAGCTCCCAGCTGTGGGTGACTGACTGCCTGGAGAGGACATGTCCTTGTGGTTTTATTCCAGTTTCCCTCCCTCCCCCACCCCCGAGTGAGAGGGCTGCTGTGGGCTTCATGAGCTTGTTGTGCTGATGTGACATCCATTTTCATAAGAGTTTTCTGGGCCAGGGGAAAACCTGCTCTTTGCAAAGATCATCTTTCATCACCATTTGACGTGTGACATATAACAAATGTCTTAAAGTAAAGGAGAGGCCCCACTGGTATCTCGCACTGTATATTTTTATTGTAAACCTAAAAGAACTGACAAAGGTTCCATCTTTATTTCCTTAACTACATACAGATTCATCAAATATTACCAATGAAGAACATTCCTGACGTCCTATCATTCCATTACACGAATAAGGCAAAAATTCTTTAACACATTGCTGGGCTAGAAACTAGTGTTGATTGGTTGAAAATGTGAAAACAGCTTAAAATTGTACACAGCTCACTCCTAACATGCTCTTATGTTATGTCACACATACGCATACATATAAACATGAGGTAGGGTTTTGTTAAATTTCTTTTGTAAATGCTTCAAGAATGAAAGCAGAGCTGTTGGCTTTACTAAAACAATAATAAAGAGAAACCACAAATTGAGAAAAAATTGTTCTTCAGCGACATGCGGAAAGCTGTAAAGAGCCAGTCTAAGAAGCACCAAGAAACAGACTTGTCAATAAAATGAGGATGCACATTTTAGAGTTAGAAAAAAAAAATACGAATTTAAATCAACCTAATAATCATCCTTGTAAAATTTAGAGTGCATATTTGGAACATGAAATATGAACTTGGATGTTGAGGGACTTCTCAGGCCTTCATTTTACTTATTGATTGGCTTGTGGCTATCTTCTAAGCAAACCTAAAACAGAGAAGGTGATTTCTATGATACTGAGTAAATAGGTTCCATCTCGATCCAAAGCTCGCGGCAGGCAAGCTAGCTGTGTGTTCTCGTCCTCTCCCTCCCTCCTCGTCCCCTCCCCCTCCCTCCTTCCCACTCCGTGCCCTTCCTGGAGTTTTTATGGGCAGCCTTAGATCTATATTTACCCACTATATTTAGTAAGTTTGATTATGCATAGCCTAAATTCAGATCTGAGATGATGATCCAGATTTTTGTTCACTGAAAGAACTTTTTCTTTTCTTTTCTTTTATAGGTTTACAGCAAAGATGAAGGACCAACTTATTTCTCGCTCTTCCTGCTATTCGGTAGGCTTGTTTTGCCTCAGGCCTTTGCCCTCACTGTGCTTTTGTAGAAGGCTCTGCTTGCACATCTGCCCATGCCAGTTGCTTCCTGACATTTAAGTCGCCACTCAGTTGCCACCTCTTCCGAGAAGCCTCCCAGATTACTCAATGTAAACAACACTCACATCCAATCCCTCGCCACTGTCTGGCCCAACACTGTTTGTTTTCTGCTATCCCTTTATGCAGTTTTGGGTTTTTTGGGGGTTTTTTTGTTTTGTTTTTGGTAAGTTTTCATGTCACTGAGAAAAAATTTTACATACAGTAAAACTGACCCTCTTTATTGTAGTTCTGCAAGTATCGACAAATGCATCCAGACACGTCCTGCCACCAGGACAATCAAGATACAGAAAGTTCCACTGCCCTGAACTGTTGCCACATCTCTTCATAGCTAACCCTTTCTCAAGCCCAGCTCTGAGCTAGTCTTTGTATCCGCAGTGTTGCCTTTTCCAGAATGTCATATAAGTGGAATCATATATTATGTAGCATTTTGAGTCTGGTTTCTTTCACTTTCTTTAGCTTAATTTATTTGTGACTCATCTGTATTATTATATGTATGAGTATTTCTCTCCTTTTCATTACTGAAAATCGTTTCATTGTCTGGATGGATCATAGTTTGTTTATTCATTCTCCATGAGTTGATTCCAGTTTTGGTGATTACAAATAAAGCTGCCATAAACATTCAAATACAGTTTAATTTCAGATGTATAAATACCTAGGAGTGAGATTGCTGGGTCATCTGGCAAGTGCATTTTTAACTAGAGAAGAAACTGGTGAACTATGTTCAAAAGTGTCTGTATCATTTTGTATTCCTACCAAGGATGAATGAGAATTCTGGTAGCTCCACCTCTTCACCAGAACTTGGTATCATCCAAATTTTCATTTTAAGCCATTCTCATAGTTGTGTAGCTGTATGTCATTATGGTTTTAATTTTCATTTCCCTGTTGGCTAATGAGGCTGAACATTTTTTTAAGTGTTTATTTGCTGTTATATCTTCTTTGATGGAAGGTCTGTTCAAATCTTTTGCCCTTAACAAAACTGTCTTCTTATTATTGGGCTTTTTTGAAGATATTTTATCATATTCTTTCTATATTCTGGATATTATTTTTTTTCAGATATGTGATTTCCTAATACTTTCACTCAGTTTGTAACTCATCTTTTCATTCTCATCATGTGTCTTTCAAAGGTAAGTTTTTAATTTTGATAAAGGACAATTTATCCTTTTTCTCTTTTCAGGAATTATGTCATATCTAAGAAATTTTTGTCTAACCCAAAGATCACAAAGATTTTCTTCTATGTTTTATTCTCAAAGTTTTATATTTTTAGGTTTTCTGTTTCAATCCGTGATCCCTTTTGAGCTAATTTTTATAGATGGTGTGACATATGGGTGGGAGGTTACTCTTTTTATTGCATACTGATATCCAATCATTCCACCACAACTTTTGAAAGGCTGTCACCTCTCCATTAATAGTCTCTGCAACTGTGTCAAAATCAATTGACTGTAATGGTGGATGTTCATGTTTTTAGTAATTAACTTGTTGATCTTGAGATGTTTTTAGCATGCCACATTAGATGTTTTTAGATGGTATCAGGGATCAGACAAAAAACAAAAATGAATCTTTTGTTTTTGTGTGTAAGTCTATTTTAAGCCCTAAGAATGGGTCGAATAAAAAGCAGGTGGAGAGAAAGTTACTTATTTTGATGGAAAATTACCAATAATTCCTCTGGGTAATGCCAATTATTTTAGTTCTCCAACACACACACACACACACACACACACACACCCCTGTGCTGCTTTTCAGTTCCTCAATAGCAGATTGGAGTTGACTGTCAGGGAGCAGAAGGGCATTACCCCAGCTGAACATTAACTGAGCATCTACTACATGCTAGGTGCTCTTCAGAGATCTGGTCATTTAGCACACATCCTCATTGAAGATACTGAGGCCTAGACATTAGGAAAGGGTTGGTGAAAAATAAGAATCAAGATCTGGAATTCCCAGGGGAGTCACATTTTTAAGCACCCTTATCTACTTAATTAATTAATTAAATACATCAGTCAGCCATGGTGCTGAGTGACAGAAGGGCATCTGCTGCCCGCCCCCCCCCCCCCCAACAGTCTGTGTGTTTGGACAGTGCTGTGGTCTTGAGTATCACTGAACCTGGACCAGCCCTCACTCTGACCTTGTAGCCACTGTGTTGTGTCTTTGTGCAGGGCTGGCCAAGGCCAAGGCCCTTTCCTCGTGTTTCCTGGTTAAAATCTTGTTCTTCTACGATGAAGTGAAGTGGGACTCAAGAGTTACTAGTTCACGTGGTTCTTGCACTCAAGAGGTGGGTTTTCTAAAACCCCACGAAAATTCATTTTCTATCCCCAAATCCAAATGATTCTGTCTGGAATGAACTACAGATCATCATCTATTTACTTACTGAGAGAGTAGGAGCGCAGAGACCAGTAAGCAAAGGGAGAAAGACAGGAAACTAGCAATTACTGAACACCCATTATGTCAACTGTTAAGTACTTGGACATGGTATGAACATCCTTGTGTTGTTTATCCCATTTCACAGATGAGAAGACTGAGGCCTAGGCAGGTCAAATTGTCCTAGTGAATAGTCAGCATGTTCTGGGGCCACAATCTGTGCCCTTGACTTTACGTGACAGGACTGTGTAGGGGGATGGGAGTGAGAACTCCCCTCCTCCCTCAGAATTAAAAATGGCATCCACATCCCTCAATGGGAATAGGCTTTAAAGATTCCTACTATGTGTGACAACTTGCACACAACGTAAACAATGGCAGCCTTGCCTGTTTTTCTCCTCCCACGCGTCAAGGTCACCATTTCATTTTCCCATCTCTGACAAAGAATTCCTGGTTTGGTTTCCTGTGTTTCTTCTCTTTATGCTTTTCAGTACTACAGAGACAGGATGCTTTGAATAAAAGCCTTGGGAGACATTATAATATGAGGGAAAAGTCTTTTTTTTTTTTAAATAAGGAAGTCAAGAGTGACAGTGTCCGGTGGTTTTAATTGTGGGGTTGACTTCATGTGTGGATTGTGAGTGGGCTCATACTGACTAGGTGTAAAGATGGGGAGTTTTTCCAGAAACATCTGTCGTGTCCATCTCATTGTGGCAAGTTCTTTGTATCAGAAAAAATCTGCAGAGCTTCTAAAGAGAGGTATGTCCTGACTTACATTATCTCAAAAAAGGTCTCAAAAACATGTTTTCAATGGACTTGATGTTTTAGATGTAGTGGAATAACTGCTACATAAAATCATCCGTTAGTGAGGGAAGGTCAGAGGAGCCCAGATTTAAACTCCACATTTTGCAGATGAGAAAACCGAATGCCAGAAGGAAGTGACTTTGCCTGAGGTCACACAGCTCATTAGAGCTCAAGTGGAATGAGAGTTCACTTTGTAGGACTCTCCAGTGCTCCCTGTTCCAGGATTAGATTGGTACATATTGAATTCCATTAATGGAACAGAAAACATTCAACTCCATATCTCAAGATCCAAGTCTCCTCAGAGAGGAAGTGGGGATGCTTTTTCTTCTCATAGGAAAGATGGAATTAGTCTGACTCTCTTTACCAGGTCATGAGGTCAGTTGAGATTTTATATACATGGGTGTGAAATGGATGAGAGCATTTCTTACCTAAAGAAAGGATTCTTTAAATCGAGGATGTTCCCAGATCTGAAGCCTGTCTGGTTTACCAGCGCCACAATCTGAATGTCATAGCTCTGTCTGGATGGCAGAAAACAAAACAAAAAAACCATCATTTGACAAGACCGGTTATCTTCACAAACCCTGAGGGTGCTGCTTTCTACACATACCTACCTGATTCATGAGTTTTGTTTTGTTTTTTATTAACCTAATGTATTATTTGTTTCAGGGGTACAGGTCTGTGATTCCATCAGTCTTACACAATTCACAGCACTCACCATAGCACATACCCTCCCCGGTGTCCCATCACCCAGCACCCCATCCCTCCCACCCCCCACCACTCCAGCAACCCTCAGTTTGTTTCCAAAATCTATCGTGAACTTACCAAATTCATGAGGGTTTTAAGAGTGCATGGCTGCCATCTTGTATATGGCCATATGTGTTTATCTGGATGCTACTAAATATTTATTTGTTAGAAGACTTTGACAGTTATAATCTCTTGATCTAAAAAATTACCAAGTTAATGGTGTTTCTGGTTTTACCAAGAGCAATGACAGAAATGGCTTTAGTTAACAGAGGTACTTCGTGAGTTACCCATTGATGTACCAAAACAATCTTAATTGTGCAAAGACTGGGTAAGTTAAAATCTCAAACTGACAGAAAATCTCAGACTGACAGTTGACAAATGTGATTGATTTTAAGAGGCCCCAGATGAAGACTCATGTAATTCCAGTGAGAACTGGCTGATAAGAACAGCTAATAGGACATATCCTTGATGACTAAAATGAAGGAATTGTTTATGGGATCTTTATTAGTCATATATATATGCTCGATCTGCCTGCCACTCCCCCTGCTTGTGCTTCTCTTCTCTGACAAATAAAATCTTTAAAAAATATGTATTTCTTCAGATTATACAGTGTTACATATTCACTGTAGAACAGAAAAATAAAGAAAAATAGAAATTAAATAAAATAATCCATAACATCACTGGACAAAGATTCTTCTACTATAGAGTATTTTCTTACCCATTTTTTATAAATGTAAATTTTTAATAAAATCATCTAAAGTATTCCTTCATATGTCCTAATTGGATTTAACATAAGCAAGCATTTATCCTCTAATTCCTTTTTAAAAAAAATTTATTTGGGAGAGAGAGAAAGCAAGAGGGAGAGCATGAATGGTGGGGAGGGGCAGAGGAAGAGAGAGAAGCAGACTCCCCGCTAAGCAGGGAGCCAGATGCAGGGTTGGATCCCAGGACCCTGAGGTCATGACCTGAGCCGAAGGCAGATGCTTAACTGACTGAGCCACCCACATGCCCCATCCTATAATTCTTGACAATGTATTTTTCAGTATTATTATATGGGTATAGCACAGTGTATTTAATAATTCCCCACTGTCAAATATTTATATTTTTATAACATATTATAAACATGTAGTAACATATTATTACTTATAGTAACAAAAATTTAATTTTATGACAGAAATTCTGCTGTAAAGAACGTTCTTATAATACATCTTTATGTCCTATCAGTGGTTATTTTCTTGGAATAAATTCTTAGTGTTAGACTCACCAGGCTAAAGCACATAGACATTTAAGGTTCCAATACCTACCGCTAAAATGTCTTCCAGAAAGTGGACTGAATTACTTCCTCACCTACAAAGTATAAAAGTGCTAATTTCATTACACATCTTCCAATCCCTAATATTTTAAATGTTTGGGGTTAACATATTATTATTTTAATTTGAATTTCCTTGACGGTTTGGCTTCTGTTTCAAATTCCAGAAATTACTAAGGGATACAAAGGCCACCCTGTCATTACCAATAGTGGCCTGGGAAGGTGTATGTATAATGTCAGATCCCACGAAACCTGTAACTCCAGTTCTAGATTTTATCGGGGCCAATTACAAAGTTAAGAGGGAAAATTAAAACAAAAAAATCAACGATGTCCTTTGATTCTGTTTCAACTCCTATAATTGACCCCCAAACTACTCTGTTGTAAAATGTTTCTTCCGTGATACCCACATCCAGTAGTTCACTGCATGTGATACTTGAAGGTAGATGCGGGGAGAGCGAGACACGGAGACACCGAGCTCCTCAGGAGAGGGGCAACCCCTGGCCATGGAAAGGCTGAGCAATCAGCCTCACAGGTAAGTCAGGGAGGGACACACCTGCATATTTTTCCCAAAGGAAAGACACCTTCTTAACAATATTTGAAGTAATTAATATAGGACTTAAAGCAGAAATGGGGGACCCCGAGGTCTGTGCAAACGTGTGTGTCCACGGATGCATACAAGGCACAAGAGAGACCTGTGTGGCCCCAGGTATGGTCGGGAAGAGTGATCAGTAAGTTCCTGCCACAGGGTGTTCTGCAAGGCTCTTTTCAGAATGCTAGATAAGATAACACTGTCACTTTATACTCACTTCTCTCAACCCACTCCTCTCCTTGACCCATCCTCAGAGTCCTAGCTTCCCTCATGGAAGGCAAAAAGAGCTTCATGTCATGTTAGGTCATGGCTCAGCGTGGTGAGTGAGAGCTGAGATTTGTTCTCAAAGCCCTTCCGTGTGCACGTGGGGGCGACGGGGAGGATGGTTGGGCAGGCTATTTTGATAGTGATTCATCTAACCAGGGGAGAACATGCCCTTCCCGAAGTCTGCAGAAAAATCATGCGCTCTTCTATCCCAGGAGCAGTGTCATCCTAGCACCACGACACCCAGGAGCCCAACTCCAAACTCCGTAATTAATGTGCAACGTGGATAAAGCAACCAACAACGGAGAATCTTGGGGCGCCCGGGTGGCTCAGTCGTTAGGCGTCTGTCTTCAGCTCAGGTCATGATCCCAGGGTGCTGGGATCGAGCCCCGCATCAGGCTCCCTGCTCGGTGGGAAGCCTGCTTCTCCCTCTGCCACTCCCCCTGCTGGTGTTCCCTCTCTCACTGTGTGTCTGTCTGTCAAATAAATAAATAAAATCTTTAAAAAAAAAATGGAGAATCTTTCAAGACTGTGTATACAGGATCCTAAATAACTATTAATTCTTTTGAACCAATTATGTAGCAATGTGTATTCTTTAAAAAAAAAAAAAAAAAACACAAAAACCTAGTTCTTTGCCAGACTTAGTCATTTTATTTTTATTTATTTATTATTTTTTTTAAGATTTATTTGACAGAGAGAGACAGAGCGAGAGAGGGAACACAAGCAGGGGGAGTGGGAGAGGGAGAAGCAGGCTTCCCGCCAAGCAGGGAACCCGATGCGGGGCTCGATCACAGGACCCTGGGACCATGACCTGAGCCAAAGGCAGATGTTTAACAACTGAGCCACCCAGGCGCCCCAAGTCTTAGTCATTTTAAATCTACAGAGCAAGTGACATACGCAGGGACATACTTTAGTTCAACGACTGAGCGCAAAATCATTGCTTCGTATACCAACATTTCTTTCGTCATCAAGCAGAGATTGGAAACTTGAGAACAACATATGTAGGGCATGTCTTTCTAAAGAATGTGGTAATTCATGATAATTTCGTCTTATTAGAGGAAACAGATGGTACAGTAGAGGGAGAGGCTTAGTGCTGACCACCAAGGAAGAAGGGAGATGGAGAAAGAGAAGTGACAGGAAGCTTGGGGAGAAAATGGCCCAAGTCACCGAGGATGTACTGATGGTGAAGGAAGGAGATAGAACTTCAGTGGTATAGACCCCACCCTGTTTTCTTCAGCGGGGTTTGACCGAGCGTGCCCCAGGGAGGACGAGGGATGACACACTGGGGTATGGAAGAAAATACGCAGCTCTGATTTTTAATTTTGTCAGCCCTAGGACACGAACGCAGTTGTTCACCTAACACCTACTGAGCACTAGCGAATTCACCAGGTAAACGCTGGATTCTAATCACCAGCAAAGAGTTAAGGTACATGTTAGGCTCACCTAGTTCCTCAGGTTTTGCTAAGGTGGGATGGTTCAGTAAGAGTCTGATTATGGGGTCCAACGTGACTGAGTGACTACCAAGAATGTGATGGACACATGGGCCAGAGCCATAAGAATCTGAGGGACGCTGAAGAACAAAGAAACGTCACATAAAGCTGTGCCAGCGAATGCTCTTTCTTTACTGCGCCGCATCAGACGCGAAAGCTTCCCCTACAGTTCCTCCTGGTGCAGCTGTCCAAACATATAGGCCTTTGATGGAGCAGTTCAGTGATGACCATTAGGAGCAGCATTCGGAGCTTCAGAAGCTGTAGCTCTTTGGTCAGCGTTTCTCCTAGTTTCATAAAACAAATCTCATTAAACTCCCTATAAACCAAATTCCCTGGCAAACCTCAGTACAGCTGACCCTCACAGAGATCCAAAAGTTTTTTTTTTTTTTTTTTAAGATTTTATTTATTTGGCAGAGAGAGACACAGCGAGAGAGGGAACACAAGCAGGGGGAGTGGGAGAGGGAGAAGCAGGCTCCCCACTGAGCAGAAAGCCTGATGCGGGGCTTGATCTCAGGACCCTGGTATCATGATCTGAACTGAAGGCAGACGCTTAACGACTGAACCACCCAGGCACCCCAGAGATCCAAAAGTTTTAAGTTATGTTCCAAAAAATATTGGCCCAGGGTAAGTGGATGAGCTAGACCCCAAATCAGCCTATGTATATATATATATTTTTTACATTCATTCTTTTTATTTTTATTTTTTATTAGAGAGAGAGAGAGAGTACAAACAGGGGGAGCAGCAGGTAGAGGGAGAGGGAGAAGAAGGCTCCCCGCTCAGCAGGGAGCCCGAAGTGGGGCTTGATCCCAGGACCCTGGAATCATGACCTGGGCCGAAGGCAGCCACTTAACTGACTGAGCCACCCAGGCGCCCCTACATTCATTCTTTTTATTTCTATTTTTGTATCTTATGAGATACATGCTACATAAATTTCTATGTGTGTGTGTGTATATATACATATATATACACACAGAGACATATCTATGCATGCATGTGTCTATAGTATATAAATGTATAAACATACATATATATACATATATCTCTATATCGAGCACTTCGTCTTATGCTATTATTATTGTAGTATATTCACATAATTAAGAGATAAATGCTAGTATACTTGGGAAGATGCATATATAAATGTTTTTACTCATAAGGGCACATGACCAAAAAGCTTCATGGACACCACTTCTGTGAACCAGAGGGATATAAATTTCATCAAGTTCCTAAGCAAGGTGGGTTCTGTTTGATCGTCCCAAGCACCAAAATGAATGACAGCCTCAGAATGACGGGGAGTCTGTGGACAAGAAAACACTAACGGTACAATCATAAATGGTCCTGGCTGGGAAAGAAAAGGGCAGCCACTGCCCACACCCGTGTGGGTGCTTTCCCAGGAGGCCCGAGCTTAAAAGGACTATTTGACAATAAGGAAGGGGGTGATCCTCTGCAAAGGCAGGACAAACAAGTAGCACCTTACCGAAAAGAGCATCAAAACACTGACATTCAGGAAGTGCTGAGGGTTGTAGAAAATACCAAGGAAGAGAAGAACTTTAAAGCAAGAACTCTGATGAGATATAATATGAGAAAGAAAGAAAGAATATGCAGGAAAAAATAAGATTTTCTGTGGATCTACTGTGTATTGATGACTATACTATGTTCTCTCCTTTAATATCTGCCAAAACCTGGTGACACAATTACTGTAATTTGCTGCTAGAGAAATTCATTAACTTGTCCAAGATCACTCAAGCACCAACCACATGCAGAGGAGATGGGACAGAACCAGGATGCATCAGACTCCCAAACCTGGCTTCTCTCACTACACCAGGGTGCTGGTCTAATATAATGAAGAACTTCCTCCCTCTTGCCTCCCTCCCTTTCTTCTTTCTACAAAGTATTGTGGGCTCATAATATCTTAGGCATCTTCTTTCAGTTGTGCCAGATGAAATTCTCACTAAGAGAAGGACCATCAGTTATGACTTCTTCATTCAGGTGGTCATTCCACATCTCTGTTGAATCTCTGAAGCATATGAAGTGAGGAGGGATACACCATAGAAGATTCAGGCCTTCTTTTTGGGAAGCTCACATAAAGACAAATACTAGCAATATAACATCTGTGTGTTAAGAAAGGGACAGAGGCCTGGAGGAGCCCAGGAGTCACGACACAGGTATGTGATGTGAATGGTTTGCCTCTTTCTTCCCTACAGGGGAACAAAGGAGAGGAGGGTAGAAAAATACGACTGATGAGGATGAAACCCTAGATATGTTAGAAAAAAGTAATGAAACAATAAGATGGTTTAAATTCACTCGCCTAATTATACCCTAAGGCACCTTAACAAAGAAATATTTGAAAGCAAAAGAATGTTAAGCAGAAAAGGCAAGTCCAAACTGCAGGCTGATGTTGGGTACTGTCTCTGAGCAATTTTTTTTTTTCCTGTAGAACTGGTCATTAAATAGATGGTTTATGAGGATTTAGGGAGAAAGTGGTAACTTCCAGGATGAACATGGTAAAAATCAGCATTTTCCACCTTTGCTCCTGGAAGCCATCCCCAAACAAGCAGAATAGAAAGACACTGCGGAACACAGACCTCCTTTTCTGTCTAACCAGGAGAAAGATACAATCCGCCCGCTCTAACTTATGCATGAGGGCTACAAAAGCAGTTAATTGGTCGTAAGCCACATGGGAAAAAGCACAGAAGTGCAAAGCGAAGCAAGAGAGCCCAGGGGCAGCCCACCTCAGAGAGTGCTCCCCAAAATACAGGCCCTAAAGATGAGGAGAGTTTTCTGAAATGCACAAGTTTTAGTCCTTGTTTGTAGCATCTTGGGCAGGAACTGGGGCAGGCAAGGCTCCTGGGCGGAGACATGTCTAGAACTGCAACACGGCAGATCCACCTAGAGACGCACAGAACAGCCATGCTTGCAGGAAGCAGGATGCCTCTGCGGCCGCACCAATGGACAGAGAGCATGAGGTGAGGAAAACAGACCACAGGAACACTGCCATGTCTCTCCCACCACAGGAACGCCTTTCTTGTAAATCACTTTCCAGAAAAGTTCCATGAACTTTCCAGAGGGGGAGGACTTAGAATCTCAAACAATTTAAAAATCACTCTTATAGGAGTGAGGAGTTGAGGATGGTAGCCAACGGAAAAACACTGGGAGGATTCTGGAAGAACTCTCCAAATATTTAAACAACTGCCATGTGGAGGTTGGAACAGACCTCAGAAGCAGAAGTAAGATAAATGAGTACAGTTAATAGGAAGTGGTAGATAGGACTGACAGCAAGAATCATTTTTTAATCATCAGAGATGTCTAAAGTACATGACATCAATAACCAAAGACCATATGAAAAGTTACTTAACCTTAGTAGTAAAGAAACAGAAACCAAACAACCAGATGCAACTTCCAAAAATGATTTTTGGATCTATCAGATTGGCAAAAACCATAAAGATCTGTAATGGGCAGTGCAGGGAATGATGTGCCGAAATGCACAAGGCTGTCCACTGCAGTGTGAGTGGAAGTTGGTGCAACCACTGAGAAAAGCAGTATTTGTCAGAGTGCAACATATACATAATCTTTGATCTAGCATTTCCATTTCCAGGGATCTCACGTAGAGATATTCTTGCCACTGTGTAAACTTCCTGTTCAAGGATATTTAGTGCAGAGTTTTTTGTAATGGCCAAAAAAGGGAAACACCAGAAGCAACTCAAGTATCAATCAATCAGCGATTTTAAAAAAGACATGTCATATATCCATTTCTGATGCACCTATTAAAATGACAAAGCAGTCTATCTGCACAGATTCAGGACTCACTGCTAAGTGAAAACTTAAGTTGGAGACTGCTAGTTTAGTCCGCTTATAAAACAGCAATAAAAACCCCATGACAATTTTTGGTTAGTACATGCACAGAAAATCGCCTGAAAGGATATGGAGCATGGGGTCACATCTGGTGAGTGGGGTGAGGGGTGGCAGAGTGTGTGGACTCTAGACACTTTTGTAGTTTTGAATGTACTTGTGAATGTGTTAGGTTTTTGTAATGGAAGAAATCGAGACTTCAGAAATGCAAGGGTTGATATGTGAGGTGGTGAGCTCTCTGTCACAGGAGCATTCAAGCACAAGCCCAAGAAGCAGGGGGAGGTAGGGAGGGAAGGAAGTGGAACAGGATGACCTCTGAGTACCCTTAATATCCGGAGAGTCCTTGAACCACTCTGTGATTCTTTTCTCCTCTGATTTACCCAGGAGATGCTCCAGCAAGGTGAAAGAAAATAGAGCATTTTAAAAATGAGAGAAATCAAAGTAATCGCTGCCAAGGCCTCATGAAACCATTACCAGAGGGAAGCGGCCAATCCTGCAGTGCTTGTCCCCCTGGGTACAGATCGATGTTGCTGTGCTAAATTTAGGGGGGTGTGGCTAGCTACAAGGAAGGCCAGGAAGCTGACGTGGGATTTAAAGCACTTGATAATTTGAGCCTTTGGCAAGCACTCCCATGAGCGGATGGATGCCCTCTCTTCTTCCGCGGTCAGGTGGAGAACACTGCCCTTGAGTTATCCCAAGCTCCCCATCCCTGCCGCCCTGAGCCCAAGGGGGACGTCTGCCGGCTGGGTCCGTAGCTGAGTGCACCTGGCAAAGTCAGCCAGGCTTTTGTAAAGCATCCTGTCCATGTCTAGGTGCTGGAAAGGCTCCCACCTCCTGCACCCCCTTCCCCATATGAGCAGCATGCAGAGGTGGTCTCCCGTCTGTACTCTCCTGCTTACCGTCTATTGGCTACAAACAGCACTTTCCCTGAGAGGGTCTCTCCTTCTTTGGCAAAGAGAGGAGTGTGAAGAAGGCACCGCACCTGATACCAATGAGTCAGAGGCTCAGTTGGGGCTGTTGACAGCCAAACTGTTACCCTGTGGGGCAAGAAAAGAGTGAAGAGCCAATCATGTTTCCAGGCCCAAATTTAATGGACTGCGCTGGGGACCTGGGCTGAGAGTTGGTTTCCAGGGTTTTCAACTCATGGAACCCTCTGAAGAAAAGGATAGCTCAATTTAGGTCATTGCCATGTGCTGGGTCTGCACCAAGAGCTTCATGTATATTATCCCACTAAGTCTTTAAAATGACTCAATGAGGTAAGCCCTGAGAGGTTAAAGGACTTGCCCAATGTCACAAAGAGGACAGCTGGAGAGCCAGGCTTCAAAGTCGTGGACTTGGCCACTCAATCAATCTGTACTTCCGAATCAAAGTTCATTAGAAGCCCAACAAGTAATAGAGTTCAACTGGGAAATGATTTGTTTGAAAAGCGTCTGTCAGGGTGAGAAGTCTGGAGTCTGGACTCTTCACTGTTTCATGCCAACCTGTTCAGGGAACCTGATGGGGCTTCTAGAAGCCAGAAAAGCTCCTGCGGCAGATGGTCTCTACAGTCCTTCCAGCTCGGACATCCTGCATGGGTATGTTCAAATGGATATTCTTCCTTTCATACGAGGAGGTGAGAACATCTGGATGTGCCTCCTACACCAAGGTCACCTGTCCTGGGCTCAGGCTGTGTCTCTGGTTTGGATGGAGTAAGGTGCTCCTACAGGGTCCATTTTGACTTGAAGATTTTGGGGGGATATCTGACAAAATTTAACCGCTAAGTAATATAAACCACTTCTAGATCAAAATATCCTCAGGCATATTATGCAGTAGAACACAAATTTTTTATAGCTTTTTAGGATAAAGCATTTAACTTCAAAGAAATTCTCCCCTTGGAACAGGCCACTTGAAGCTTATCTCCTTTGCTCCTGCAGGAACAAATTCACTGGGGGAAAGTCGGAGAAACAAATGCATGGATCCCTTGGACAAATACGCTTCTGTGCTGTAGGAATGACTCGTACATCCTTTTCTTTCTCTCTGATTGTCAGCCCAGACGAGGCTGCCAGGGATCCCCTCCTCCCTGAGCCCCCCAAGCTCCCTGAGCTTTATCACAGACCCACGGGCCCTTCTCCCTCTACAGAAGCAATGACAAGCCTGGATGTTTCTATAAGGAGTAGAGGAGAGTGTACTGCAAAAGTTTTCCTTTTGCCTGGTCATGGGACCCAGAGCAACTGTCTTTACTCGCCGGACAGCACGAGAAAGCCTGGCAAGAGAGGAGGGGAGTCAGGACAGCAGATATTTGGAGGGGGGTCCCAGGAATGGCACAACCCTTACAAGGAATACCAGACACTGAGAGTCAACTTGTAGGTGGTCTTTCTCCTCTTTTCCCTTAACTTTTCAAATCTTTTCAGGAGGGGTAAGGAGTACATGATGAAAAGGTCACCTAATGTGGCCGTTAGCATTAGCAGTCCATGCCTGCCTGTCATTAAAGAAGGGCTCTAGTCTGAGAAGCTGAAGGTGTGAACCAGAGTGGGGGAAGGTAAGATTCTGGGTACACCCACACACAGGAGGTTCTGTAACCAGGACGATGCCATGGAAGCCAAGGCGGGAGACTTGGGGTCCTTCCCACCACCTATTCTGGAAAAGACCAAGAGGGGCTGATGAAGCCCGGATCCTCTCTCCTTCCTTCAAATCCCAATCCAATTGCCTTCAGAGGTTTCACAGTATTTTAGCCAGGGCTGATCTGACACCATGGAAAACAGTCTCATTTCGACTGGGCCCTAAAATTTCAAAGGTGCGTTCACATCGGTGCTTTATTTTCTTGACACCTAGAGAAGTGAGCATTATGGCACGGGGCCAGAGGAGGCCTGGAAGGGGGGGTGATACCTACAGAGATCCGACAAAGGCCACGTCAAACCAGAACGCCAGGCCGTGGACGAGGCCAGACTGCGTCAGCTGGAACACAAAGGGGATTTCTACTCTGCAAGGAAAAAGAGAGAGAGAGCAGAAACACTTGGAATTATTTTTGTTGTTGTTGACAGGAATACAAGACACATTCATGAGATCAGCCAGAACATTGCCAGAATATTCTCTTCCTCTCTTAAGCACTCTGGCTCCGGCAGCAGGGTTCTCTCCATGTGTGATTCCTGCCTGGCTGAGGCCACACATTTGACCACGTGGCTTCTTGACAAAGCTCGGCAAGAATCACATCACTGCTCTGCGGTGACACGGAGCTCCCCGGGGGCAGGGCAGCATCCGGAGCGGGGTGTGAGCTCTGAGAGGAAGAAGAGGCAGGACCAGGTGACACCCGCCCTCCTAGAAGTCAGAGCAGGAACCGGGCAGCCCCCCTACACTGCTGCTTAGAAGGGAAAGGCTGGTCGGGCCGCCGAACAGAGACGTGGATCACAAGGGGGCGCATCCAGCTAGGAAGGTCCTTGTCACAGTTCATTGATTTTTCAGGGAGGTCACTGAACCTCCCACAGGCCCGCGGTAAGCGTCACACCGACGTGGCCGTGGTTTCTACCCCCTGCAGAAAGAAGAGTGGGAAAGGCACAGCAAAATCTAGATGCTAACTTGGAAAGTCACTTAAATCCTCCGAATCTCAGTTTCGTCATCTGTTGATGGGTGACAAAACCTCTCCCACCTCCCTTGCAAGAGCGGGGAGAACATACATGAGAGTGCTTTGTGAACTTTTTAAAGTGTTTCACAATTTATTGATATTATTTATTGATATTACTGATATTATTCATCCCTTGCTGAGGGGAGACTTATGTTAGTGAGTGCTCTAAAGATTTTCAAAGGAGGTCATACCTTATTTGCGTTTATGGTGTCTCCAAAGCCCTAACTTCTTTCACCCTGTGGCAGTCAGAGCACTTCTCGAGTTTTCCATTGTGCTGATCACACAGAATTGTTTGGTATGGCACTGCCATTATTTTCTTTTTCTCTTTTTTTTTTTTCCCTTGCATTCCCCTAAATAGACTATGAGCTCTTCAAGGGCAGACTTTTAAAACTTACTTTTTGGGCCTGTGTAAGCACCAGCACCATACCTAGCACCTAGTGAGATCTCAATAAGCACTTGCTGAATCGACACATGTAAACGAGTGACCGGAAGCCGAGACAGAGCTCATTTTCATGAACTTCCCGGGGATTCAGGAGGTGGCCCAGAGCAGCACATAGAGCCGATGGAAGTCAATTTTGTCTGGGCCTGCGGGACTTACAGAGTTGTTCCCAAACGCCATTTCTCTTGAGCTGAGCACACGGGAGGATTACATTTATCCACTCACCCGGGCTCAGGCTCAGCCATGTGACTTCCTTTGACCCATAAAACAGGAACAGAAGTGAGCTGTGTCGTTTCCGGGCAGAAGCTTTCAGTGCCAGGACATACTTGGCCATGCTCCTTCTTTTTGACTAAGTGGGGAGGGATGCTCTGGACAGAGGCTGGTGCGCTGGGGTGGGTGACGCCACGCAGAGCTGGAACTGTGCCCAGTGCACAGAGTGTCAGGGAGGAGGACTCCTGTGTTAGAAGCCACGGAGGTTTCTTCTTAGGACCACAGCAGGTTCTAGCCTGTGCTAAGACAGACCCTTCGCCCATTGTGATCTCAAGACAGGTGATGGTCTGAGTTGCCCAGCTGCACCTGCTAAAGTCTGGCGCTCGCTTCCTCAGTAGCCCAGGCAAAATGACAACCTGGCTGGGTCTTAAATTGCACTCAGAAAAAAAAATACACGCACATTGATCTTCTCAGGAAGAAAAAGGCAAAATACTAGTGAAAGGTCATCCAAAGGGGGTTCCTATCACCATCCGGGGAATGAGTTCTCATTTCAGAGTCTCTTCCGGTGGATGGAAGGAGGACAAACATGAACATTTATTGAGTGCCGTCTTTGAAAATGAGCCAGTGCCTGTGAAAAACTTAGCACAGCACCTAGTATGTGGTAAGCACTCAGAAAGTTGTAGCTCTTCTTCTTGATGTTATTGACATGAGTGAGAAGGTAAACAGCCTGGACTCTGGAGCCTTCTGAATGGTTCAAATCCCAGGTCTAGCATCCTCAGTGATACTGTGACCTTGTGCAACCTACTCCATCTCATACCTGTCCTCCCTAAGGTGGAAGTAACAACGGTACTGTTGGCAGAGCAGACACGTGGAGGACACGCCGAGTCATTACATGTAAAGGGCTCAGAACACTGGCTGGCCACGTAAGTACATGCTACTACTACTTAATTGTACACAAACAACTTTTAAAACAATCCTATGGAAGAAGCATCATTCTCCTCATTTAGCAATAAAACGCGACTAGTACTGCTGCCCCTTCCTGGGTGTGACTCCCACCTAAGATCTCTCCCCGTGTGAGGGGCAAGGCCCTGCACTGAAGTTTTGCAGATGAGAGAGGCGGAGGAGATTCTTAAAACCAAGAGCAACACTGGTGTTTACAAACCTGTGGAGATCTGCCTCTTCTGCGTCCATAAAGTTGACTGTGTATTTGACCGTCCGAGCCATCAAAATCCTAATGTCGAATGTGTCCTTGGGGGGCGGGGGTGTGGAAAGAAGCAGAAACGTTATCTTTCTGCCAGGATAAACCGAACCCAAGCGAAATTGTGGACTGGCTTTCCTCCTGGTATTTTAAGTCAACAAGAGTTAGGGTTTGAAAGGCATGAGCTTAATGATAATATCATAATGATGGCTGGCATTTATTCCGTGCTTACTATACACCAAGCACAGAGTGCTTCACGCTTTCCTAAGTGCTAAATGCTTGTTAGGTTGTATCATCTGGTGCTCACAATATTTCTGGAGCAGGTGTGTGGTGTGTTTCCAACCATCCAGATTTTACCTCTTTTCCACATTCCAAGAAGTTCCATAAAAACTTAGCCCATCCTCAGCTCCAGGTATGGCCGGCGACCCCAGCTTGGCCAATCAGTGCATGACTTTTCCCCTGAAGATGGTTTGACAGGCAAGAACATGACCCGAGGGAGGACAATCAGGCTCCATCTAAACTAATCTGGGGCTTTGGCCCAAGTTATTAGAGAAAAGCAGGCTCGCCTGTGGGACTTAAGAGTTGTAAGAATCTGAGGCTGGAGTTCCTGAAGCCATTTTGCTACCACAAGGGGAGACCCATAGTCAAATTAGAGGCAATGGAAATAAATTATATGGATAGAAAAATCAGATTCGAGTGACACTGTCTGAACTCCAGCAGTGGGTCTCTAGCTCCGGGCTCTGCATTTTTGAGGGCCAGTAATTAAGCCAGTTTTGGGGAATGCCAACTTATTGCTGTCCAAGGTCACATAGTTAGAGGGGGTCACGAATGAAACCCCAATCTGACAGCGATGCTCCTGTTCTAAGCTATTTATTTTACAAAGCTTCCTCTCCTATTATGCCTTGGGCCACCAGAATCAATGGGAAGATATGAATTATTGAACAAGTGTGAGGGCTGAGTGTGTACATGGGGTGAGTCAGGGCAGTGGGGGAATCAGAAGTTACTTATTGAAAGGCAGTCAGAATATCTCCTTGCTTTCGACAGCATCGTTCTCTGAGAATTTTCTTAATTGATTGGAAGATGAGAGCTGGAAGACTTGAGAACATAGCATTCCAAGGAGCTCTTTCTTCTTTTTGGTGATGGCTTCACGGAGCCTGGCAGCACACCACCTCCCAGGTGCATGAGTGAACGAGCAATCAAATCCTTAGATAAACACATGGAGGAGAGTGTGTGATGACACCCACTTACTACTATTGGCTGTCTGAAATACTCATCCACTGCAGCCCCCCGGAGACTGGACAGGTTGACCCCATAGAAGCATTGCTGGTACCTGAAAGGGAGCACAGAGAATCACATGCACCTTGTCCCTCACCAGAGTCCCCAAGCCCCTTACAGCTGTGACATGCTGGGAAGCTGCCTCACAGGTCCTCAAAGGCAGCCACAAGCACGTGAGTGAGCACGTGAAGGCAAACTGGTCTAGAGGGAGTAGCGACGAGAAAAGGCTCTCCAGCAAATCTGTGGACGTGTACTTGACCTGCAGTGGGGGGAGTAGTTGAGGTGAAGGACAATACCTGTGTAAAGATTATGGACGGTATCTGTGGGTACGAAGGCCTCTGGGTTCCCACCCTTGACCTCACGCCCCAAGGTGGCTGCCTGCTCCGTGACATGCTGTCCCGATCCTGAAATACAATTCCCTGACCCTCTCATTATCCAGCCCAGAGCACGACTTTAGATCTCCAAAGTCCCCCCACATTCCTGCTGTTTCAGGAAACAGATTGCTCTCTTCGGTTCTTCCGTAGCCATGGGCCAGCAGCTTCCTGATGGCACTGGCCGCAGTGGCCGAGTGAACTGGAGCCTGCTCGTCACAGTCCGCGGTGCGCGTTTCTTCTCAAAATTGTGGTCAGTGACATTCGACCACAGAAAGTGACCAACGCTATAGCCCTCCCTTCCTTCCTCTGGGAGCCAGATGCAAAGCAGTTACTGCCACACCACTGGCCACGTCTTACCTCCGTGTCCCCGCTACACCCCAGGCCGTGCCTCGGACACAGCAGGTGCTCTGTGTCAGCGTGGCGAGTGGTCTGCACTCCCGAGAGAAGAGATCTCGGGGGTGGATTAGGAGAGGCTTTATTCAGGCTCTGCCAGCGACTGGCTCTGAGCCCCGCACAAGTCACCTGAACTCTGCCTGTTTCCTTTTCTCTGAAATGGGAATAATTATATGCTCACTCTGTAGGGTTATATAAGCAGTAACGGAATTAACACAAGGAACGGTGAGCAGCACTTGGCATTTTGTTACCACCGCCTGAGCTGGCTATTATCCTCTGAATGCCGCCTTCTCAGGTCAGCACTGGGACCAGGGCAGTAGTTCCCAATCTGTGCTGTGGGAGGACTTGGGGGGGGGGGGGCTTTTAAAAATTCAAGTTGCCAGGCCCAATTCTAGAAAGCAGCCTGGGAGACCTTATCACTAGAGATTGAAAGTCTTTATCCTGAGATTGAAAAGCAGCTTCCCTAATAAGGGTGCGTGCGTGCGTGTGTGTGTGTGTTTGCCTTGTGTGTGTGTGCATGTGTGTGTGCATGTGCATGTGTGCGCGTGTTTGCCTGTGTGTGTGTGCGTGCATGTGCATGTGTGTGCGTGTTTGCCTGTGCGTGTGTGTGCGTGCATGTGCGTGTGTGTGTTTGCCTGTATGTGCATGTGTGTGCGTGTGCATGTGCGTGTGTGTTTGCCTGTGTGTACGTGTGTGTGTTTGCCTGTGTGCATGTGCGTGCATGTAGTGTGTGTGTGCGTGCGTGTTTGCCTGTGTGTGTGCGTGTAGCGTGCATGTGTGCATGTGCATGTGTGTGTGCATGTGTGTTTGCCTGTGTGTGTGCGCGCGTTTGCCTATGTGTGCATGCGTGTGTGCATGTGCGTGTGTGTTTGCCTGTGTGTGTGTGCACGCGTGCGTGTGTGTGTGTGCGTGCATGTGTGTTCTACAGCCTGCGAATCAGATAGGGATTCACTTCATCACTCCCCATCCTCTCCCAGTCCTATGCCTGCCAGCCTGCAGGAAAGACAGGAAAACAACCAGCACCACAAAGAATAAACATACAAAACTTAAATTTGTGGTTCAGCTCAGTTTGGATGGAAAGACCAGCCAAAGCAAGGTCCTAAATCCAAAATCAAAGCCTCCAAGGCCCTCAAAAGAGGCAGGGAGGCCTCTTTTGCTTTCGACAAACATTAAGTCGACAGCCAGTTCTCAACCTGCAAGTGAAAAGCAAGCCCCACCAAGCTACCTACAGATCCTGAAGGGCACATACAATTTCTCACCACTGAGCCTCTACTTATTTTCCCTTCTGCCTAGAAATCCCTTTTCCCTCTTTTGTCCTGTTAATTCCTATCCCATCTGTGAGACTCAGCTCAAATGTTCCCAATCACAAATTTTTAAACTTGTGTTACAGTAAAATATTTAAGTTTAACCCACTTAAAAGTGAAAGTATTTTCTAGAGGCGCCTGGGTGGCTCAGTCAGTTAAGCGTCTGATCAGCTCAGGTCATCCTCCCAGGATCCTGGGATAGAGCCTTGAGGCGGGCTCCTTGCTCAGTGGGGAGTCTGCTTCTCCCTCTCCTTCTGCCTCTGCCTCTCCCCATGCTTGTGCATTCTCTCTCTCCCTCTCTCTCTCAAAATAAATAAATAAAATCTTAAAAAAAGTGAAAGTATTTTCTTATTCATCAGTGTATATTTAGCACAAGGCTGGCATACTGTGAGGATTAAAAATTACCTATCCAGCTAGCTATCCTCCATCTCTCTTTAACGAATGAATTGAGGACTTGGTGTCCTTCACAGGCCTATGAATAGTAGAGGTGCCAACGAAGATAATGGAGAAATGGAAAATCATGACCCCAAGTTTCTTTAGTTTCATTACATATTTTTTTAAAAAGATTTTGTTTATTTGAGAGAGAGAGAGAGCATGGTTGTGGGGGATAGCGGCAGAGGGAAAAGCAGACTCCCGGCTGAGCAGGGAGCCTGATGCAGGATTGGATCTCAGGACCCTGAGAGCATGACCTAAGCCCAAGGCAGACGCTTAATGCTTAACCAATTGAGCCACCCATGTGCCCCTCATTACTTGTTTCTTTTTTTTTTTTTAAAGATTTTTTATTTATTTATTCATGAGAGACAGAGAGAGAGAGAGAGAGAGGCAGAGGGAGAAGCAGGCTCCCAAGGAGCAGGGAGCCCGATGCGGGACTCGATCCCAGGACCCTGGGATCATGACCTGAGCCGAAGGCAGACGCTTAACCATCTGAGCCACCCAGGCGCCCTCATTACTTGTTTCTTAATCTTCTCCTTCCACCAAGGGCCCCAGGTAGCCTGGCCCACAGGTGAAGCGTATCATTTTATGAATACACATCCTGAAAACAAGGCTCCTATATGCCTAGAAAATACTTGGAAACAGAGCACTGCAAGTTTAAACAACCCTTTCAGTATTTAGAAGGAGAGTCAAGGTGTTTTTGGAGAAATAAGTCATCAGCACAATAGTTTTTATTAGAGGGAAAGAAGAGAGGGAAGGAAGGGGGTGGGGCGAGAGGGGAGGGGAAGGACAGAGGCAGAAACAATTTCCCAGAAAGCCCAGAAGGACTCAATCCTGTCCATCCTTCAGAATCCCCCAAGAAGCTTTTGAAATGCTGATGTCCGGACTGCATCTGTCCAATTGTGGTTTATTTGATCCAGGCGTGTAACCCTCTTGTTTGTTTCCAAAGCTCAATGGGTGATTCTCATGTTAAGCCAGGGTTGAACACTACAGAGTTACCTGTTCTACAGTCCTCACCAACTGGCGAAAGAGAATCCCCACGGACAGAGACTGCCCTCCGCCTGGCAGTGCCTGAGGCTGCAAACTGCTCTCCAGGCCTTGGGTACAACCTCAGAGGAACCAAGTCTGTGCCCTTTGCCTTGTGTGTTTGGTGCCAGTTAAAACCCAGCAGCCGTGATTAGTGTGGTACACACCAGCACCACGCCTGGGCAGACGGAGCCGTGGGCCCCCTGCCTGGGTTTTAAGAACTTTCTGGCTGGACCGTCTTTCGAACTCTTAGAAATCTCAAATCTCCTTCCGAAATGCATCACAAAATAGTTAAAGCAGATGGGACTGGTATCTCTGTGGGTCTCCTAAGATACACTGTTGGGTGGTGAATCAGGAAATGAATCAGTTGACTTGGAAGCTGCGGATGATTTCCATTGTTTTCATCTTATGTGGGTTTTATTTTCCAGGTTAACTTTTGGCCTCTTAATGAGTCCATAAGGCAGAGACTATGTGTAGTTTTTGCTCTTGACTTCACATTTCCAACTGTCCTCCCCCTCTCCCCTCCCTCTCCACCATAATCCATGCAACGTCTGGAAAATTCTGCAAATATAGCCCAGAAGGAAAATAATTGTACTATTAGCTATGCCTAAACACACCCAGAGTGCAGAGAAAGAGGCAACCCATTTACTATGACGTTAACTTCTCCAAGTTCTACACACAGAGCCCAGCTTGGAGAAACATCCAAGGAAGCTTCCTCTCTGGCCTCCTTTGTCTTTGGCTCTTTGCTAGTTCATCTGGGCCTTTGGTCCTTTCTCCTCATTCACACAGCTCTCCCTACCAGCCTCCTGGATCCGTCTTGGATCCTGAGCGGATCCTGGCATCTCTCACTGGGTCAGATGCCAAACCCTGGGTTCTTTGCCAAGACCAGGGTCGTGAGATGCTCTGATTGACTGAGACTGAGCCACATGCGATTCTCTAGAGACAAGACCACCCAAGCCACAAGGACCGAGAGTGGGGAAGACGTGCCTCTCAGAAGAGAATCTGGTGCTGTTATCAGAAGAAGAGCAACAAACAAGAGATGTCTATCTCATTGTCTTACCAGATCTCCTTTTCCTTCTGATACATCTTCCATAGGTCCAGTTGTTATGCAAACCAGTAATGTCTAGATTTACACGGGCACGCCTAAGGATGCACCACGGGTTCCTTTATAGAATCACAGGCTTTCGCTTACTTCTTAGGAAAGATGCACAGTCTGAAGCTTGGTTTCTTTTAAGGACTGTGCACTCCTTTCCTCCTCTTTTTCCATAATAAAAAACACATTTTTAAAAATATGAAAAGTATATAAATATATCACATATAAAATATAAGCCACATTAATTTGCTGGAGTTTAAACCCAAACAAACAAGACACATAATGTATACCCAGTGAGAATCAAGTGTAAGAATTTTGCTCAAACAGCTGCAAAGAAGAAGTGGATATAGAGCTGTGAATTCATACATCTGGATTTGCTGTATATGGGCTCAGGAGCAGAAATTATGGAAGAGCTATGAGTCTGACACAGGTT